GGATCGGTGTTGGAAATGGGAAGAGACAGCAGGCTCCAAACCGCCGTGTCTCACCCACCACTTCAAGGGCTAGGGATCCCACACATCTGCGGGCAAAATCTGGCGGAAGTGATCCGCCACCGAGCAAAAAGCCTGTAAATACCGCATTAAACAAAGGGCCAGGGATTTCACATATCTGGTGGCAAAATCTGGCGGAAGTGAGCAATCGGTACTTCTGTCAGATTTTGCCAACAGATATGTGAAATCCCTGGCCCTTTGTTTAATGCGGTATTTACAGGCTTTTTGCTTGGTGGCGGATCACTTCCGCCAGATTTTGCCCGCAGATGTGTGGGATCCCTGGCCGTTTTTTGAACGCGGCATTTACAGGCTTTCTGCTCGGTCGCGGCTCACAGGGATTATACACCCCTGCCCCCACTCCACCCTCCCGCCCCCTTCATACCTCATTACCCACCCCCTATCTCAGCCCCTTGCCTCGTACCCCATCACCACCCACCACCCACCACCTATTATCCACCACCCGGCACCCCTCACCCGCCACACCCACCACCCACACCCTCCCCACCAACCACCACACACCACCCACCACACACCACCCACCACACCACCCATCACCCACCACCCACCACCCACCACTACCCAGCACCCGCCACTACCCACTACCCACCACCCACCACCTACTCCTCCCCATCATCGTTATCACCATCCTATTATCATTTATCATCGGTTTATCACCTTTATCACCCACTCCCCCAAACCCACCCCTCACCACGCCAGCACAAACCCCCTGCTCACATCCCTCCCCCACCCCACCCACTACCCTCACCCCCACCACGAACCCATTAGGGTCCAACAGGGCTGCGGACACCCCACCCCCTCTCCATCATCTTCATCATCTTCATCATCTGCATCATCTTCATCATCTTCATCATCTCCATCATCTTCATCATCTCCATCATCTTCATCATCTTCTTCATCGTCATCATCTTCGTTGCCGGTTTCATTGGTTTTAATACCGCTCCCTCTATTCTTAAAGGTAATTTCATAGGTATTGTACGAACCATAATACAATCGATTTATCTTAACTACTATATCAAGAATAGCTTACCACATCGCATCTACATACTTTGTAACCGGGCTTACTATAAAGGCCCCATATGAGGGATCCATGATGGGTTTCTAGAAAGTCTCTCTGTAAGGGATCTATAGTTTTTTATATAATGGGTTTCTATAAGGTCTCTACATAGAGGATCTATAAGATTTCTATAAGCAATCTGTAAGGGTTTTCCAGAAGGGCTCCATACGAGGGATCTATACAGGCTTCCATGTGGTTTCTACAAAGGGTAAGGAATATATAGCAGTTGTCTAAGAAAGCTCCATGTAAGGGATCTTGTAAAGTTTTCTACAAAGAACTCCATTTGTTGATTTATACGGGGTTTCTATAAGTTCTCTATATAGGGGATCTATAAAGTTTCTATACGAATCTATAAAGGCTGTCTATGAGGGTTCCATACAAGGGATCTGTGAAGGGATCTATAGGGATTTTATCATGGGAATGTATACCTTCGATACGGATAATTGCGCCTTTGTTAAGATCGTGAAGACTATTAACTACGTGATATCCTTCTTGGCTAATGCTGTGATCACATCAGATCTGATATGTATAGAGATACATTGGAAGGCACATGGGAAAACAAACTGACACATTACAGGCCTTCTAATGTGTCATTATTCCTATTGAAACCCTAAAGGCAAGGAACTTATACACTGTAGGGCATCTGTATATTGGAAGGTCTCTGGGTAGTATAAATTGACGCATTACAGGCCCTCTAATGTGTCACTCCACTGCTTCCTATGGAACCTCTATTGCAATGGAACTTTTCCACTAGAAAACCCTTGGACATAATAAACTGACACACTGCAGGCCCTATAATGTGTCGCTCCACCTATCCTATTGAAACCCTACTGATAAGAAATTGATACATCGGAAAGCACTTTTTATGGACATAACAAACTGGCACATTAAACCCACTAGAATGTGTATCTTCACTTCCTGGGTCCTGGACTGGGCAAATTGATATATTCCATGCCCTCTAATGTGTCACTCCATTTCTCCTACTGAAACCCTACTAACAAGGAACTTATACACTGTCAGGCCCCTGTACCTGGGCATATCAAATTGACATATTACAGGCACCCTAATGTGTCACTCCACCCACTCCGATTGACCCTCTACTGACAAGGAACTTATACACTGGAAAGTCCAGGACATAACAGATTGGCACATTACATGCCCTGTAAAGTGTTACTCCACTTCCCCTGTTCAAACTCTATTGACTTGGGCATAGCGAATTAACACATTACAAGCCCTCTAATGTGTCACTTCATCCCTTCTACCCCTCTCGCGCTGGTCTCTGCCGCTAGTTGCAGGCAGTGGGCCATTCACTCAGAGGGAAAACTGTTTGTGAGTTTGCGGTCAGGGGGGTGGCAGACTGTTTGCCATCGGTGGAGGCGGCCCCATTGCCACCGCCAGGCGTGAACCGATTGATGAGCGTGTCGCGCCCTCGGGGTTGGATGAGCTGCTTTGGTGCCCAGTACCCGCGGAGGGATCCAACGGGAAGAGCACTAGCCATGTTTGGCAGCAGCCACCAACCCTCGCCCTGTCGGGGACGCTCCAGACCTGGCCCAGTACCGTCGCGAGCGATTGCGTCGGGAAGAGCCGTTTGATCTGGCAGAGGTATCGAGGATGGCATGCTGTCTTGCCCTTATGCCGGCCTTCCTAGCAATTTCCTTTGCTAGGAGGTGAAGGTGGCGGGCTTTCCTAGTGTCCTCTCCAGTTCGGTTTCGAGAGCCCTGTCATGGTTAAGGGTGCATCGGGTTTGCCATGATGCACGGCGTTCGTGTGGAGCCGGCCTGCAGCTTTGCGCTTTAACCTTCGGGCGGAAGCAACGGCTGATCCTGCTGGGGCCTCACAATACCCAGCCACACTCACTCACTCACTCACTTCATCCCTTCTATTGAAAGTATATTGACAAGGAAAATCCTACTTTGGAAGGCTCCTGGACACAGCGACCTGACACATTACAGACCCTCTAATGTGTTACTCCATTCCCCATGGAAACCTATTGACAAGGAACTTATACACTGAAGCGACCCTGTATATTGGAAGGCCCCTGGGCAGAACAAACTGACACAATATAGACTCTCTAATGTGTCACTCCACTCCCGCCTATCGAAACTCTTTTGGCGAGGAACTTATACATTCGAAAGCCCCCAGACAGAACAAACGAACATATTACAAGCCTTTGACCTGTCACGCCCACTCATCCTACTGAAGCCCTCTTGAAGCTGATACATCGGAAAGCCCTTCTTACGGACAGAAGAAACTGGCACATTGCAGGGGCTATAATGTTTCTCTTCACTTCCTGGACAGGGCGAACCAATACATTACATGCACTCCTCATATTGAAACCCTATTGACAAGGAACTAGTTTGTTCAGACCTGGCTTGCCTCAGTAGATATATGTAGCATATGTAACAACAGAATCTAACAGGCAACGAGTTGTAGTAAGTGTTGCGACAGCATCATGTGATATGGATGTGTCATGCCGTATGTATTCCCATAGTTTGTCATATGAACACATCCGATTCATGAGTACCGAACCTGTCAGGTTATGCATTCTGGCCTGTGCGGAAATTACAAACAAATTTATGCCATATTACAGCGTGCATGCTTATTACGTGATTCTTGGGTGGATATGTCGTATGCAATTACTCAAACGCTGGCAAGTCACGTGATTCTTGGGTGGATATGTCGTATGCAATTACTCAAACGCTGGCAAGTCAACAATAAGTCGAATTGTGAAACATTGGGACAGGAGAATTTGTCCGTGTTGCCGATATACTGCTGACAGTGCTATGCATATCTCCACGACGATACATCATTCCTGGAAGATGTATGGACTCTATACACTGAAATGTGTCATCACAACGAATGTTTATTCATCGACAGTGCTGGGATCAACACTCGATGTTCTGTTTATATAATACTCGTCTCCCTGAATGCGAATAATTTGCTATAATTACTTGATAGAAAAATATAGCCTAGTCGATCCGAAACTTTTCAGGTCGTGGCTTTGTAATGTGGGCTGTGCTTATACCCTATATTTTGCTTTCCATTATGTGCTGAAGACAACAAACCGCGGTTATATAGACCCTAAAGGTATCGGGCACATATATATATATATATATTTCTATATACAACCGTGCATGCACAGTATCGCTGATGTGTATGCATGGTGGCAGGATGGCACCCCAAACTCGAAATGTAGATGTTTTCGCATCATACAGGATGAGTTGGCTGGAGGGCTAAGGTGTGCTGTTCAATCGCACTCGCAAATTCACAGGGCTCAATATGCGCCTTGCTCGGCCGGCTGCATGTCCCGGACGTACGCCCATCGTCAACGATGCAGGTGGAAAAGTCCAGCAGATTAGAGGATGAACTTGCCGTTGAACAGATCATGTACTTGCGATGCATGTGTATGACTTGTCCTTGCTTCGTCGGCTCTCTGGCTCAAACAGGAAAGCCCTGAATCTGCACAGCTTGACCTTGTCCTATAAGCCGGTGATGCTACGTCCTAAAACTTGAGCCCCAAAAGCATGTACATAACATTGGAGCAAACGCCGATTCAAGTAGTCTCGCTCAGAGGCCCCAGCCGAAGTTGCCCAGATACTGGGCGCATATGCAGGTCGAGTGGCCATGGGCAAGTGTTGCAATGACCTTGGCTCCAGTCCGACCCTGCAGCTCTTCATCATCATCTGCTTAGTTGTCTATGTGCATGTCACGATCTTCAACCTCTGCATGGCTTTTCTTGAACAAGAGATGGAGCTTCCGTACGACATCTTGGACACGAGCGTTGGGGTGGTGATGTTCGGTGTTATGGTTGTATTCTGGAAAACATGCTGCTCGCGTTGCTGCGCACCCTGTTTGCTGCGGACCCGAGATGCCCGATGTTCCTCCCGGGTGCATATGCCAAGAGATGGCAGGCAACCCAGCCATGATGGATTGCCCTTTCTACATTGTGTTTGTGCTAGATGGTTTTGCAGGATCTCCAGATGCAGCCATGCACCTTATAATTAACGACCTCGACAAGCTGAACACGGCCACGGATTGGGAGACTGCCACGGATATGCTCGATTTCATTGAGAGTCTTCGATGGATTTGTTTGCTCCGCTTCTTGCTACTTGGCATCGCAATCTTCGGGATCGTGCTGGCCGTCAAGAAACGCAAAATGATGCTGAAAGGGGACTACAGATCTTCAGCCGTCCATGCGGTCTACGGTGGGGCTCCGCCTGTCGTTGTTGGGGCACCAGTGGCGGTTCCGGCTGTTGTGCAAGCTACGGTGGTAGAGGCGTCGAATGAGCCCAATCAGAGAGTGTAGTCAAGAGGCCTGAATGATCAGTCGAGTGGTACCCATATGGTCCCGACGTACGTACTGTAGTATACTCGGAAGCCCAATTCAGACTATTAGGGCAACTGGGACGTACGTTTATCGAGCTTAGACCCCGCTCAAGAGTGTCTTTGAACTGGCGGCGGCTCGAGGCAAGGCTAGTCGCTTCTGGCAGTTTTACACGTGCTTTACCGCCTCCTTGCCCTCCTGATGGTACTCCAAGCCATGGGGTTTCTACCTTGTCCAATGTGACGTGGAAGCACGATCCGACCATGCATGCGGCCGGCTCAAAACATGGGCAACTGCTCAGGCCAAAGCGTTTATGACTCGGTCTGGTGAATTTTTTGCAAAAAATCTTCTTGTCCTGTGTATCGTGGAGACTATGGCTTGCTGGGACAGTGTCCTTTGGGTCCTTTGATTCCAAGACTTAGTCCAGAGCCAGTACCTTCGTCATCGGGTGTCCGTCTTGCCGTGGGCCTCGTCCTTTTGCTGATCTTTGGCGGTAGTTTTCGAGGGCATAGCGGGTGCTGAGCTGATTTGAACCCCCCGGTTGAGATTTTGGATCGTGTGGCTCTCACCTTAGTTGCCTTGCCTCAAGTGCTTAGTTCAGGGCTTCCTCGCAAAGTGCCGCGGCTGATTTGTACAGGTTCTGCATTCGTAAGTTTTAAACGGGCTTTCAGCCAAGCACTTTCAGAACATACAGAACCCCGTCCCGCCCCAGGGCCATCAAGCCGCATCACAGACCCCAAGAGAGAGGAACTTGAACCTTTCGCAATGCCCAGGAGCGCGACTGACACCCCTGGCCCAGGGGCCTACACAGGCAAAGGGTTCATGCAGTTTAGGCTGAGCTCTTTCGTGGCTGCTGTGTATCAAGTGTTCTGGTGGTCCTTTCGAGTTCAAAGTTGGGGTACCGCTAGGCTCCTAGACCCCGAGTTCTAGGGGGTAGGGGTTTAGAGGGTGGGGGTTTATGATTTCAGGCGCTTCTAGTCCGAACGGCATCATGCCAGGTGCGCTGACACAGTTTGGATACTGAGCGCTGGGCAGCCAACGAAGCAACGCCCAGATCTTCGTCGCATCTGACCAGTAAAGAAATGACACTGCGTGTTCGTCTACGTTCGTCAGAATTGGCCAAGCCTACCGCCGCCCTGAAATCGCACTGCTTCAAGCAAAACTAAACTGCAGTGTGGTTCCCACTTCTTGTGGTTTTGCGTTCTCGTCGATCGGCGGTCGGAGATCAACTGAACAATAGGAGTAGGGGCATGATGGTCACTTTGGTACCGGTCTTGATGATGGTTCAGAATCCGAATGCCTTCAGTGGACCTTCAGCGTGGGTGTGGGTTTTGTTAGGGTTTGGGGTGTAGCGTGCCGATACGTGGTACCAAGCATGACCCGGTGTAGGGGTATATGTTTCCCGGAGACGGGTGTGGATGTGGCAGCGCGCGACGATGTTTTGGCTTGCCGGGCGATTTTTGCGGTGCCGCTTAGTAGGCCCCCTGACAATCATACCACCCGGGAGCTAGGAAAGGAGTGAGGCTGGATCTGTGAATCGTGGTAAGATGCCCAGAGTAGGGTGTCTAGGATAGAGCAAAGACTTGGAGGGGATTGGCCAATGGCAATTCTGTATAGAGGCGACTTGCGTGTGTGCGTGTGAGAGATAGATCATGTTCCAGGCATGCTCGAATACATGCTGTCGGCATGCATCCACGCACGCATGCGCAGGCATGCGCAGATGCGTGGATACACCCTGGCACATGCATTCGAGTAGCTGGCTGTGCATGTCTGGTAGGTCGGTGTGTCGGGGAATTCCAATGAAGCACGAGTGATCAAATCAGAGCTTACTGGCACACATGGGTGAGTGTGGTAGCTACGACAAGCAGCCTTCGATGAAGGCGTAGGGTTTGAAGTCAAGTGTTTGCCCCTCCCTTTGTGTACGTAGGGTTGATGGCCAAAGGCTCGAGGTGTCATCTTGCCCAGTACAACCAGTGCAAGACCTGGATGATCTTGCGGATTGTTACCGTTACCACTCTTGCGGCGTCAGGATTTTCTCATTGCTAGCATTGTGCAAAAGTTTGAATTTCCTCGGGGCCGGAGGAATCGTAGGAGCATTGTTGTAGGCTTCTTATTCTCATCGCGGTCCTGATCCTGCGCGCTCGATCCTTGCCCTTTTGCCTTATGCTTCGCTGCGCAGAAGGTGGCGCAGACCTGCAGCAATCAAGTCTCACCTGGATGGTTCGGCAGTTTTTTTTCCTTTGGTCAGGGGCCATACCGGTAGAGTAGTAGAGCAGCACACTAGTTCTGCTTCTGGTTGATCTTGGCTCTCTTGCCAGTCGGAAACACAGCTGCATGGATGGATTAACCATCTGCCGGACCTCTGATTTACCGTGATGGATTGAGCCTGGATGTGCAATGATGGGACACTGTGCCTCACCTTTAGACACCTAAGCCTAATCCTTACACAAACTCAACCAACAAGCCTTTTGCCATAAGGCCTATATCTATCCAACCCAAGCCCCAAAAAGCCTGACCTTCGTGACCTTAAACCGTAATCCGCAAAGCCCGTCAATCACAAAACTGGCAGTTTCAGAGATATGGGACACTCGTATAGAACCGGGTTTAAGGTTCTAGGTGGATATGGCTTTCAAGGTTCGAGGTAAAAGGGGTTCAGGGTTTAGGCTTTGATATGCTTTGATGGTTTAGGGTTTTAGGTTCGGTTGGTTGTCGGTTTTCAGTGAGCCCGATGACTCTGAACCCTGCACGGGTCTTGAATGAATTCTTAAATTCATGAGCAGACGGACCCTTTCGAGAGTCACCACAGGAGGATCCCAGAAGGTGCAGTATATCATAGGGACCCTAAGGGGGGTAGGGGACTAGACTTCCTTAAATAGGCTTTTGTAAGTCCTTATTATAGGCATATAGGTATTTGGCCCCCGACCCCCCTGGGGTCCTTATGACTATAGATTTCGGCGGAGCTTCCTGCCAATCAGCAGGTTCTCGGCATGCTTGGGCCATTGTTCGGAGCTTCATCCACAACGCCCCGCGCCCTGAACCCAGATCAACCGCCAAGAGGCGACCCCCAAGCCGCAAACCCTAAACCCTGGACTCGTAACCTCGCCAGGCTTGTGCTGAAACCACCGGAGCTTTGCATCCTGATATCCGGACGTGACAGCACCTGATGGCCCAAAGAGAAGCGTGCATATGCATTTGCTACGTCAGGGGCTTCTCTGCGGGTGCGGAAGGTGGGAAGCCATTACCAGACCATTACCATTAGTCTCTATATCTTCAACGTTAAAGTGGTTATATGCTCCACAAGCCCGACGCCCTCAAAGCCTTTAGCCCGAACCCGTAGTGCGAAGTTATAAACCCTAACCTTACTTGTTGGTAGCTCGAAGCCGAATATGTGCCAATAAGCCCTAAATCTTTTGGTAAATTGCAGCATTGTCAGCTATGTGTGCTCTAAACTTTGGGATGTCGGGATTCTTTTGGTTTTTGCACCTCAACGAATGCCTAGGCTTGGGACAGGTCACTCCCCACCCTTGGCGGGGCTCCTGATTAAGACAATGAACCCGATCCTAGAGCCTAGAGCAAGGCCTGAGTGCAAAAAGCCGGGTGCAACGGTTCAGCCTGCTCTAACAACTGGGATGTCAAAGTTGACAGGGAGTGCGACATTGTTTCGCTACAGTCCCGAACCGATGTCAGGTTTCTTGAGCATCGCGACTTGCAGCCTAGATGTCCCAAGACATGCTTCAGCTTCTCCGCTGTGGGCATTAGCAGCACCAGCTTTGGCCCAGCTGCGGATTTACGAGCCGAGCATACCGACAGCATGCCACTGTTCTACCCGACATGCGCCCAGAACTCGGACACCCTAAACCCTACAAGCCCTCAACCCGAAACGCTCCCAAGACAATCCCAAGACCCTCTTTCGGGTTTGGGGTTAGAGCGAAGTGGAAAGCCTGTTGCAAAAGGGTTCTAAACCTAGAACTTCCTGGACTCGGACTCGCCGAGTGGCCGAGCCACCCAAGCTCCCATGGCCAGCCCCAGCAAGCGTCAGAAGGTGGATGCGGACACGGACGCTCGAGGCCGGAGCTGAGAGACGCCCTGAAACCCTCCTGAACCCAAAGCCCCTAAGTCCCTAAAGTAAGGTTATGAGTAACTTATATGAGCCATTATAAGCCCCGTTATAACCTGCTTAAATAAGTAAGCCCTCAAGCCCTCAAACCCTACACCCTTAAAGCCGGAAACCCTCTGACCGCGGAGGCCGCAGCTTAGTGACCCTCCAAACCTCGGCGTCTAGCCTCTCGCTGGATCCTGCAGGGGGCTCCTCAGTGTCTGAGTAGCTAAACATTTTGAATTGGGGATAGGGTTTAGGGGTTAAGACGTTCTTTGGGCTTCTAAACGCCCTGAACCCTTGAGCCGAAATCGAAGCCCGAAACCAACTAAGGCTCCATAGCAAGCTTCCGCTTGGCTTCGTCGACGAACCCGCTTTGCTGGGACTCTGCGGTGCACGACCAGAAGGACAGTAAATTGATGAGATATGCATCGCTAGACGAAAAACACCCTCTATGGCCGATAATACAGAGTCTTTTCCAGGACTTGCAACCACAGAGAGCAATGTTCGCTGTTTGATTTTCCAGGTTTGAGCGTGAGCCTTCGTGCTGTGTCATTCACACCGACAGCATGTTTGTTTGGTTGTTTGTGCTGCATTGGTACTTCCCCAAAGCCCTAAAGGTCGTTGCCACATATGTGCATACTTCGCAGTACTATGTCTTATGTTGCAAGCTGAATGCAGGGTCAAAGTTGTGTTTGACATTCACTCGCGGGTTCCTTCATGTTGGCTCGCAGCATATTTGTGCACGCGCCTGGATTTCAGCAGCTGCGTTGTCAGAAGTGTTTCCCGGAATGCGGCAATGCAACAGTGCAACACAGCCGAAGCACAAGCTTACCCCCCGTACACATCCTCACTTCGGAGATGTAAAGGCTCTGTTTCGGAAGCAACCTTTGGTGTTGAACAGGTGGTGAACTTATGACTCATCGCAAGAACCGAATGCTCTAAGTGTTGACATACAGTGTTAACTTCAGATTGTCGTCTAGCGGACAGCAGCAGTAGACATCGGGCAGACGAAGACGCCATGCGACCGCAGTCCGTCCCGTTGTCCAAGAACCCGCGAGTTCCCAAGCTGCAAAGATCACCCCGCAGTAGTTTTCGCTGTTTTCGGATAGCTAATAACTACGCAAGCTCGAAGGACGTGTGTTGAGGAGCGATCTAGTAATCAGGTCGCGTGCAATGCCTCGAAATCCCATATATGCGGATCTGCATCTGCTTCTTCCTCATCAGCTGAGGCTCATCTGGAGCAAAAGCGGCCGCATTCTGTGGCCGCCCCCCGGGCACCCAGGCGAAAACGTCGGCAGCCATCAGGACGCTTCTATTCGGTTTTGCTTTCGTTTTGTCTGCTTTGTTCATGAAACCTGTGTGCAGTACACCCTGAGCCGCCTGTGGATGAGTTCGACGTGGAAAAGACGCTGGGTCCTTGTTCAGATACGCATTGCCCACAATACGCTGGACAATCCAAAATGATATGGCTGGTGTAAGCTTGACTCAAGCTTCCGATCTACCTCGCGAGCGGGCATAGACTTCTAAGCACATGCGAGAGGCAAAGAAACCCAGGATCCTTAAAAATCCAGGCAACCCAGCATCCCTAAATCCTGCACCCTGATCTGAAGGGCTCCAACCCAGGACCCTCTACGGAGATCCTTTGGGGCGCTTCCGCGCGGCGAAGAGTCGCCTTGGCTAAGAAGAGCAGTCTTGGCGATTTGGGCCCAGTCCGTCGGCAACCCCGGGGGGCCTTTGGGGTTTACCTTAAACCAGAAACCCTAAACCCTAAAGTGTGCGAGTGTGAGCGTCGAAACCCGAAAACCGGCCATGCAGGAGGTTAAAAAACTCCAAAGCCCTAAATCCCGAAGCCCTAGAACCTTTGGGGCTTAGCTTGAGCCTTTCACCGGGGTTGGTTTGGGGCTCAAAAAAACCATGTTCAATAAGGGCCAAGAGGCTGCTTTGATGTCAGAGTTGGGGAGCCTTTTACTAGTCGTGCCCAGCAGAGGGTCCAGGTCCTTTGAAAGAGATTCGGAAAGAAGGTAACGTAGGGGCCTAAATAATAACCTATAGTATTGTGCCCGAATAGGGCACTGGAGTCCGATCAGGAAAACCAGGAATACAGTATTGTGTGTCTTTCCTTATTATAATCATAGTATAATGGGCCCCAGGGCCTCACTCTAACTATTAAGGCCCCTGTATTAGTCGGTACCAGATTGCCTTGCCTTGCACGCTCACGCTTGATCCTGTTCTGGCCCGGGAAAAAAGAAGGATAGTATTGGTAAATTTGACATCGGAAATTTTTGCTCAACATATATCTATGTCATGGTCCGCCTCGCTGCAATGCGTGCACGCAAAATTTCGAAGCCCGAAGTCTTAAACCCGAACCGGGAGGGAAAAAAGCCCCTGGCCTCAAACCTTGTTAACCCTGTATCTGAAGGTTCGCTATTCTTTTCCAAAACAGGAGACGTGAAGCACGAGGAGGAGCGCCTGGCAGCCACGCAGGGCCCTTTCCAGAAGCCGCCTCTGGCAAAGTACATGGCCATGAAGCTGCTTGGCATGGGGTCGAGGGCATAGCATTCAGGGTCTAGACTTGGGGTTGTTAGGTTTGTGGTTGTTTCGGCAGTTAAGCGAGCCTGTAGAGATGTCAAAGCTCACAGGCCGTTGCGACTTTGCACAGCTTGTCGAGTGTATTGGTTGAGGCATCAGCAACCCTACCTTGGCTTCGTCTGCGCACTATTGACACAAATGTAGGTGCCTTAACAATTCGAAGAGGGTTTGGGGGTATCTTATACTAGAATCTAGAATTATCACAAGGAACGAGCCCCCAAAACCCTATGCCTTGTTCCAACAAGTTCTGCAACTGCCGCTGATACGGAGAAGCGTGCGAATGAAGGCAAGGACGCTCCTCAATCCGAAGCATCCCCCAAGCCATGAAGAGTCCGAAACCCTGGACCATAGCGGGATGAATTCAGCGGCGCCTGCGATTTGCAAGGAATGATCCACTCCGGAAGAAGTCCTTGAATCTCGGTGGCTGTTCATCTGTAAAGGGACTTCTTGACAGGGCCTCATGTTTTTTGTTTTCGCTGTGATGGCTTTCATAACAGGAAGTTTTATCGTCGTAAGGTCGCTGCTAAAACAAGAGTGTTTATGTTTTCTTGCCCCAGGTGGGAATGATGAAAGTTTTGTGAGATTTCCACGCTTGAGTTCAGGGCTCACAGGTGAGGCTTCAGGCACTCTTGACCTACACCTGTGTACACGAATGCTTTTTGGTTTTCAGGGCTTACGGCTTAGGGGTTGATTAGTGTTCTGTCGGTTTTGCGAGGCCTTTATGCGACACCAAGCCACAGGTGGAAAGTCAAAGAAGAGTTCGCTAGATGGGTGGTTGTCAAAATTATGGTCCCTTTTTGGGTCCCTATTATAATACGGCACTTAATATTTAGGATACCCAGAAAGGGACCATAATTTTGACAACCACCCAGATTGTTTGAGGTACGAGAAGTTCAAGGAGGTCAAGGACGCCAACGACGAGACGGCGCAGGTCCCGATGCCCGCATCGCTAGCCCGCTAAGCCGCTATAAAGCCTAAAGATCCTTGAACACTGTGATCCCTTGAACCCTATATAAAAGTATGTAAACCCTACTTCCATCCGAGGGGAGCGATTTTGGCCCTCTCTGGGTCGGAGTTCAATTTTTCAAAGCTCGAAGGTTCCAGGAGACGCGAAAGCCTGGAGGCCTCAGAGCCCTGGGGGGCTCTGAGGTTGAAAGCCAAGTATCTCCAAGTTGGTTTAGGGTTTAGCGAGGTCTCCTAAGGTGACTGAGGAAGGCTCTGCCAGAGAGCTTCGCTGCCGGCATACACTCCAAGTCCGTGCTTAAAAAGGGTTTAGGATGTGGGGCTGAAGAGCAGCGGAAGAGGCAGTGCTGGCAGTCATCAAGTCCGGTTTCAAAAGGGTGTGGGGACAGAGGCTTTCTTTCTGAGGTCGACCACAGCCCCCGAACAGCCATGAAGATGTCAATAGTCTCTCATTCGTCCGGGTCACCCCTTTTGAGATCGGATATCACCACTTTGAACGAGCAAGAGCATTGCAGGGAATGGCTACTAAGAACAATACTGGTAATGATAAAATACATAGCATTAATAGTACTCTTACGATTGATAATGCTGGTAAAACAATAACAGCAATAATGGTAATGTCTCTTCCAATCCACCAAGAACAAAACAGCACTACTAATAGCAGTCAAAATTATAATAACAAGAACAAAAGCGCAAAGAATGCCCATAGTTGTTTGACTAATAATACTAACAGAGATGGCAAGCACAGAAGAATTCACCTGTAAACCCTCAGTAGCCTTGCTTCGCGATCCGTCAGCCATGCAAGAGGCAAAACAAACAACAGTGATGATGCCTGTTTCAATCCACAGCCTCCGAGATGATGTGCAGGCCATGCGGGCTGACCGTCTCGAGCGTTGGATGCAGGACGCCGCCACGGTTGCCACGACGGCCGGGAGCCCCGAAAGGGGAGGGTTTCAGCTCAATGCCCGCAGGGGCTTGATCCAAACAAGTGTGCCGAAATCCCACTGCGGTGGGGGGGATCCTTGCCTCAGGTGCCCTTGAGACACTCCACTAAGCCAGTGGGAAGGAGCTTCAGTTTTGAGCCTCGCAGCTTAATGTAGGCTTCCACAGACTCAACGTTTTAGGATGTGCCAGCTCCGAGTCACGCTGAGGCTCCTCCTTCAGCCTCAACAGCCGAAGTGCAAGTCCGCAATCTAGCCCTGTTCATAACTATGCTGTTCGTCGTGGTGGTGGTAGCCGTAGCGGTAGCAACAGCCGCCGTAGCTGCAGGCATAGGCATCGTCGCAGTCGTAGTGGTAGCGGTAGCCGAAGGCGTAGGGTTCGGCTGAAGCATAGGACGCGTTCGTAGTTGTATTTGTGGTCGTCGTAGCAGTCGTCGTAGTGACGTAGTCGTGGGGGTCGTGGTGCTTGTGTCGACGTTTGGGCCTTCAGGGTTTTGCTGTCATGATGTGGCTCCCGACAGTTTTCCAAAGCAGGTTTCTTCTTTTTCGGGCATTTATCCAGGTGTAGCAATCACTGCCTGCTTTCACAAGTGCCCTCAAAATTGAGCGTTTTTCTTGGAGCACAATCTGTGTGACTGCATGGTAAAACTTGTGGAGGTTCATTTTCTGAATTTCGACAGGTCCGTGGCGTCCTCCGCATCAATGACGAAGAGACGATCTCAAGGGTGCCTGGCAATCTTGCACCCCCAAAACCTCAGTGCGTGCTGAATCCCAGAACCTGATTCAGTTGAATGTTCGAGCCTCATAGCGAAGCTCAGTCTGAAGCTTTGTAGCTCTAGCGCGGCATACAGATTGAGCATCTGCTGCTCAGATTGCCGTAGTAGTCCCCGACTTCCATGGGAAGGCCGTAG